AGGGCACTAGGATTGGCTAGCTTGAATTGGTTAGCGGATGGCCTTGGGGGTTTCCCGACGACATGGAGTGAACATTCTGATCTCCAGCATTCTGTGATCGAGTATTATAATTTGAAGTTGCATTATAGCTGGGCTGGGAGTTGTAATTACGAGAGTTCTAATAATGTCTTGGACGCTGTGTGCCTCGCCAAGACTGGCCATGGGAGTTACGAGGTGGGGATGTCCTTTGCCTAGCTCTACAATCCGCAGTGTGGTGACCAACTTGTTTATGGTACGTGCAATATGGGAGCCTAGAATGATTAGATTAACGAGGGGACCGAGAGAATTGTCTAGGAGGTGATGATCTAGGGGCGGACCAACAGTCCCTTGCGAGGTGGTTACTCTTACCACAATGCCAACATGAGGGAGTGGATGGTTGTGGACTATGGCGTTTCGGCAATTTATGAGGCGGCGAATTTGACTGGGGGCTACGAGCTTGGGTACGCTTCTGCGACCAAGAGTTTTGAGAGTTTGTGGGAGGATGCTGAGAGCTTGTTACTACATTTACAGTATCAGAGGGTGGCAACAGTTGAGCACTTCGGGGAGCTAGTTTATCGGCGGCATTGTTAATGGCCTCAAATACTTCACCAATTTCATGTTTAACACCAAAATTTTGTTGCTCGATGATCGGTTTAGTATGCTGTTACGAACCCGGATCCAGCGTCCGAGCACGGAGCAGTAACGACCACGCCATCTGTGGGTCAGCTCCCGAAACCCCCGCCAAATGGACGACGACACCTGGTGAGGACGGCGTGTACTGGCCTCGAGGGCCAGTTTCCAGTCTGGTTCAACGCTCAACACCGCCGCTGCTGACCTCTGGTGAGGTGGTGCCCAGACACCACCGCCATCTATGGAGCGGATACGTCAGGCGTTCGTGCCTGAGCCCGTAAGTGAGGTGTTTTAGTGTGTCCCAGGTATTGATGACGTGTCTGCTTACAGAGTCGACCTGGGACCCCTGTGATGGAAGTTGAGTCAGTCTACCCGAGGCAGCCGTCTCCGAACCTTGAGCTTTGCTGCAGCAGTTGCGAAGTCGTTCCCCTGGAAGAACACTGTGGTGTGTTAGCCTGCCAGTGGAGTGGCAGTAAAAGGTTTACCCGGGACCGACTGTTGGAGACGATCGTCCACTGGGGTATTGAGGACGGGAGAGTGATTTGTGGTGTCACACGAGGCTCCTGTCCAGGGCGTTCCCCTCATATCGTTCGTGGAGTGGCCTGACCAGCGTTGCGGGTCCGGAACCTGCCAGCAGAGCCCCTGCTGGATTTGTGGTTGACGGCCTCCACGGCGGTGCCCCCAGTGGACCTGTGTTTTGGCTGACCTGTGACCAGGGTAGGCTCAACTTCTCAGAGGATTCGTTGTGTGGCCACGAAAGCACCGAGGACTCAACACCGAGAGAGAGCGAGGATCCATAGTCTCCAGCAGAAGACTACAGTTTAATCCCCTTGTATAGTGTTAATACCCCTCCCCCTGTGTACCCTTTTTATATATTATTTATTGGTGGTGGACATTATATAATCTTAAGTTCTTAGCTTTCTTTCCCTTCACCCTTTGAGTTACTTGCGTCACGGATCACATCCCTTGATAGCCACTACTGGCTTGGGAACGGATATACATCTTCCTCTAACAACATCAGAGTAAGAACACCGTTGCGTCCCGAGAGGGCCGTAACATATGCTCTGGGGCAAAATGCATTAAAGTACCAAATGCTATCATTTTGGCCATAGCCTCAGGGGACAGATTATTGTCTTTATCTAACCAAGTCGAATTATTCATAGCAGAAACTAAGGCATACAGATACTGATCGAGACGGCTAGTAAACGCATTAAACGATTCACCAGGCTGCATGGTGGCATTGACAATTTTCTTAACTAACCTATACGGGTCTAGATCTCCTTTGTTAACAAAGCGCCGGCGAAAGAAATCCTTAAATTCAGACCAAGACTGGAGGCTAACAATGGCTTTCTCATCAACAACAAAACGTGCATCACCTTTGGTTGTGTCCACAGCTGACCGTGCAATTGCTAAGTATTCGGCATCAGTAGGCTTAGAAAAACGTGCAACTGTTTTCGCTTTAACCTTACTAAACCATGACTCTAATAAGCGCGATTCCCCAGCAAAAAGAGGAATAGCCATTTCCTGAGCTGATCTCTGGCCATTGGGACGAGCAACTGTTCCCGTTGATTCTGAAGGGGTTTCAACAGTGGTAGGCATTGTCACAGCCGTGGAAGTAATATTTGAACGCAGATTATAATTAAGTGCACCTGGCATCAGAGATAGTATACACAAAAATAAACACACACAAAAATATCAACTTGGCTAAAGTAAGAAAATGGCAAAAATAAAATTATTAAATTGGGCTAGGCAACAAATAATTAAGAACAAGAAAAGTGTGAATTAAATTAGCACAAATAATTAAGAACTAGCAAAATTGTGAATTAAATTAGCAATCTGGTATGAATATGGCTGGGATTAGAAGCATGCAAATTAATTAAACTCAGTCTAAGCACAGCAATTTAGAATAAAAACTGTAAAATGTAATTGCAAAATTTCATTAAAAGATTCAACACAACAAGTGGCAATGCAAGAAATATGGATGTAGCACATAAACTGGACACAGGAATGTACATAACTGCTATGGTAAAAATTTAAAATAAAATGCTTAAAGGATAAATTTCAAGTTAGGTCTGGAGAAATATCAAAAATTTTCTAAGTTCTATTGTCTATGGAAATCTCAAACAAATTTCTATTATGCAAAATAAACTGCTAGAAACAATTATTTATTTCTTCTCTCACCTTTGAATTCACTAATGACACTAGTAACAATTAATGAATAATGGAATCAATGCAGGGAATATTGAAATGACTCGGAGAAACTGTGGGAATGGAGTATTGAACCAGCTCCAATATTTAACAAGTCACTGAAAGGTTAATTCATAAGATATTTTGGATATATTTACGTTAAACCTCATTAAATCATAGCACACGATATCTTAGCTCATAATTACTTAACTCAGGGCTGCAGGATTTGCAATATAACAATGGCCAAAACGAAAAACGTTGACGAGACGTGTGAAGAGGCCCATGTGAGGGCTTGTTTACAAACTGGTGCGATGGCAGCGCTCCTGGCGGCGGTGGCGCGAAACTCGGGGGGACCCCACACTGTTGATGTTGGGAGCGCGAAGATAAATTCGGACGACGACGATATTGCGACGATGGCTGACGACGATTTCAGTAGCTTGAACACTCACAAAGTTTAGATACTGTCAGCTTGGGTGGCGGTGGTGGTGGTGGGTGCAGGTTCCCACGTGGTGGCGCGAGATTCAAAAATAGCTGGCGCGGAAGCTTCCTTCCTCCTCACTGATGAATTAACGTTCAAACAGGAAATTATTGACCCTTACTGCTGAGACGTTGGCCTGGAGTAGTGGTTGATGGCAGGACCCCGGACTGGTACAATAATTGATGCGTGGGTGGCAGGATGGCGGCTTATGGAGGCGGCTGATGGCGGTGGCGGCTGTACTGTGAACACAAGGCGATGCTGGGTACTTGAATTTTCGTTTCCAGAAAAAAAAATTCTGGATCCCACTGCTGCTACCAGTATTCGTTTGCCTTGTTCGGGTTGAATGTAGACACAGTAGTCGCTTCTGTATATATTTATTGAGTGAGGCAAACAGGTGTATAACTGGCCAGCCGAGGTCCACCTACTCTGGGTCTGTGAGGAGAACTGAGGCTGCTGGGAGCATAGCTGATGCTCCTCTGTCTGGCATGACGTCAGAGGCCTACTTGCCTGTGATTGGTTATATTCCAACTGACATAGAATTTGTGTATAACAGGTGTCTGTTGCTGTAGGTGGGTGTCTGTTATTGTAGGTGGGTGTCTGTTGCTGTAGGTGGGTGTCTGTTGTTGTAGGTGTAGACAGGAACATCATTCACCAGTTGATTAAATTTCGAGAGGCGGGACCAAAGAGCTAAAGCTCAATTCCCGTGAGCACAACCAGTTGAGTACAACAAGGTAAGTACCTCTCATTCTTGAGGGTCCCGGCCTTAACATGTAGTCTTAAGAGATTTATTGTGGCCACGTCCAATATTTTTGTTCTCCATGTATCTGGTCAAAATGTTCTTTGTTCTTGCAGTCTATCTTCCAGGGTTGAAGTCGTCCATTATTAGAAGTCTGGATCCGTGTCCAAGCCACTCACAGGCTGGACACTCACAGGCTGGACACTCACAAGCTGGACACTCACAAGCTGGACACTCACAGGCTGGACACTCACAGGCTGGACATGGGGTGCACAATAAACTACCACTCACAGGCTGGACACACAGGCTGGACATGGGGTGCACAATAAACTACCACTCACAGGCTGGACACACAGGCTGGACATGGGGTGCACAATAAACTACCACTCACAGGCTGGACACTCACAAGCTGGACATGGGGTGCACAATAAACTACCACTCACAAGCTGAACACTCACAGGCTGGACACTCACAAGCTGGACATGGGGTGCACAATAAACTACCACTCACAGGCTGGACACTCACAGGCTGGACACTCACAGGCTGGACACTCACAAGCTGGACATGGGGTGCACAATAAACTACCACTCACAGGCTGGACACTCACAGGCTGGACACTCACAGGCTGGACACTCACAAGCTGGACATGGGGTGCACAATAAATTACCACTCACAGGCTGGACACTCACAGGCTGGACACTCACAAGCTGGACATGGGGTGCACAATAAACTACCACTCACAAGCTGGACACTCACAAGCTGGACACTCACAAGCTGGACACTCACAGGCTGGACACTCACAGGCTGGACACTCACAAGCTGGACACTCACAAGCTGGACACTCACAGGCTGGACACACAAGCTGGACATGGGGTGCACAATAAACTACCACTCACAGGCTGCACATAGGATGTTCATCAATTTAAGAAAAGTAAACAAAAATCAACTGACCTGAAATTCTGGCGCATGCGTAGTAGTCGCCGACGCTCTCAATCATGGAGGCGAGGACGCCGGCCAGCATCCCGAACACTCCCGACACTGTCACCGTTGGCACCCCCCACTGACCTGTGTACACACGGGGGTGTTATCCTCCACACACACACACGGGGGTGTTATCCTCCACACACACACACGGGGGTGTTATCCTCCACACACACACACGGGGGTGTTATCCTCCACACACACACGGGGGTGTTATCCTCCACACACACACGGGGGTGTTATCCTCCACACACGGTGATGTTATCCTCCACACATACTGTAGTGTTATCCTCCACACACACTGTAGTGTTATCCTCCACACACACTGTAGTGTTATCCCCCCCACACACTGTAGTGTTATCCTCCACACACACACACTCTGTAGTGTTATCCCCCCACACACACTGTAGTGTTATCCTCCACACACTCTGTAGTGTTATCCCCCCACACACACTGTAGTGTTATCCTCCACACACTCTGTAGTGTTATCCCCCCACACACACTGTAGTGTTATCCTCCACACATACTGTAGTGTTATCCCCCCACACAAACTGTAATGTTATCCTCTACACATACTTTAGTGTTATCCTCCACACATACTGTAGTGTTATCCCCCCACACAAACTGTAATGTTATCCTCTACACATACTTTAGTGTTATCCTCCACACATACTGTAGTGTTATCCCCCCACACACACTGTAATGTTATCCTCTACACATACTTTAGTGTTATCCTCCACACACACACACTCTGTAGTGTTATCTTCCACACATACTGTAGTGTTATCCCCCCACACACTGTAGTGTTATCCTCCACACACACTGTAATGTTATCCACCACACACACTGTAATGTTATCACCCCACACACACTGTAATGTTATCCTCCACACACACTGTAATGTTATCCACCACACACACTGTAATGTTATCACCCCACACACACTGTAATGTTATCCTCCACACACACTGTAGTGTTATCAAGCACCACCTAACTTACTCAAGGCTGTCACACTGATAACTTATGTGGGGAAAACTTCCTACTCTTATTCACATAATATTTAATTAACTAAATATGCAGTAAGCAATAAGGAACTTATTGCTTTGCTTGTATAAATTTATAAAAATAATATGAAATAATAGTTTGTCCTAAAAGGGGAGGTCGGTTAAACGCTTTCTTTATCATGAGAGAAAACAGGAATGTCACATCAGCATCAATGCGTCCTAGTTCTTTATTTATCTAACAATATTATCCCAGCGTGGAGCCACAAGGCTCCCTGCGAAACGCCGTGACTGTGTTCTCAGCAATTGTGCTGGGGAAGGGGCCTCCATTAACCCGGTGAAAAGTTGCGTCATGAGCTTCACCTGGACCTGCTTAAGCAGTACAACTTTTAATTAACTAACCAAATTTAACTTAAATAATATACATTTAATATATCTTCTAACAGGCTACTTCCAGTTCAGTTGAATTTTTATATATAAAACCCTCAGCTTGTGAGGAGTTTATTTGTGGGAAAATCTATATACAGTCAATATACAGTCAACATTCCTGTCACATTTGTGGACCTGCGTAAAGCTTTCGATACTGTCAACCACCAAAACCTTCTTCTTAAATTACATCATTATGGTGTCAGAGGACACTCCCTACAATACCTCAAATCCTACCTTACTGACAGGCTCCAATGTGTTTCTGTGAATAATACAATTTCTCCCACCCTACCCATCAACATTGGTGTTCCCCAGGGCAGCATACTTGGCCCTCTCCTCTTTCTCATCTACATTAATGACCTTCCAAATGCCTCCCAACACCTCAAACCAATCCTATTTGCTGACGACACAACCTTCATTTACTCCAGTCCTGATTCCCTTGCTCTAAATGCCACAGTAAATACTGAGCTAAATAAAGTCCATCTTTGGCTAACTGCCAACAAACTCACCCTTAACATTGACAAAACTTTCTATATTCTGTTTGGCAATAAATCCTCTAATCAAATAAATCTCAAAATAAACAATACCCAAATTTGTAACAAATTAGATGGCAAATTCCTTGGCATTCTCATTGACCACAAGCTGAATTTCCAGGGACACATTCTAAACATATCAAAAAAAGTTTCAAAAACTGTTGGCATTCTTTCTAAGATCAGATATTATGTACCACGGCCTGCCCTGGTGACTCTCTATTACTCCCTTATCTATCCATATCTCAACTATGGTATTTGTGCTTGGGGCTCTACTACCCAAAATCACTTACGTCCTCTAATTACTCAACACAAAGCTGCTATTAGGACAATATCCAATTCTGGCCCCAGACATCACTCGGTACCCCTACTCAAATCCCTGAATATGTTAGACATTAAGTCACTGCACATTCTCTCATGTGTATTATACATATATAAAACGCTAAACTGTAATGCCAATCCTGATCTCAAAAGCTTCATAGAAGGTTGTAACAGAACCCATGAGCACCACACCAGAAATAAATACAGTTTTGATATTCCTAGAGTACGACTTAATCAAACCAGAAATGCTCTACAAATCAAGGGGCCCAGAATGTGGAATGACCTTCCCAATCATGTTAAAGACTGTACCTCTCTCAACCAGTTTAAGTTAAAAACGAAGCTATACCTAATAAATTCCCTGTAACCTACCTTACCCCTCTATTGTCAACCCATGTATGTTTTTTTTTTTTTTGTTTTTTGTTTTTCAAATCAACGCTGTTTTAATGTAATTTTCTGTAATAATTTGTAATTGTATTTGTGCTGTTTTTTCAACAATGTTCCCCCCTCTTTTACCTCTATTTTTATTTGTACTCAACACATTTTTTTCTTTTTACCCATTAGTTTTAAGCTTTAGTCAGTAGTGTTTTTTCCTGCCCGAAACGCTTTGCGTAATAGTGGCTTTAGGCATTGTATGTACTAGCTCTATCTATAAAGCCAACAAACTTTGTAAATCTCTCTATGTATGTACCTTACCTAAATAAAAAATTATTAAAAAATTATTATTATTAAATTATTATTATTAATTAATAATAATTATTATTATTATTAATTAACTTTGCTTATATAAATAATTAATAATTACCAAATAGTCACTTAATTTAAAATAAAATTAAATTTAAATAAATATTCCAAGTAAATTTCTTGCAACCTGGAGGACCGGGCCGCGGGGACGCTAAGCCCCGAACCCATCTCAAGGTAACTTGTGCCTGTAGAACTTCCTTATCTTGATCAAATATAATTTAAACATATTGTTGGCTAAAATATAATAATTCGTTTTGTCGGGGACAGGAAGCCTGTGTATATATGATATAGGCTTATATCGAGGTGTATTCCCCCCTCTCACCTCCCCCCCCTCGCCCTAAGATTGAACCACTGATCCTCATCAGGATGCAACCCCACAACAGTTGCTTAAATCTCAGGTCAGTATTTACTGCTAAGTGAAGAGAATCATTAGGTGAAAGGAAACGTGCCCAACCATTTGTGTTCCGCCCGGGAATCGAACCCCGGGTCTTCGATCGTGAGTCGAGAAAGTAACCACTGAATTATTGTAACATGCTGGATAAGAGGGGCGAGAAGTGACTATAAAGAGGCACTTACAAGGGTATGGGATCCTGAACCACGGGGAGCCGTCGAGGAGGTCCGTAGTGAGGTCAGTTCTGGCCTTGTTGCCCTCGGGGAAGACCCCGGCAGCCGTCAGCACCGCACAGAACCCCCAGGAGAAGCACATGGCCAGCAGCACCTGCAGGAGGAGACATGGGTCACCAAGACGGGGCGAGACGGCACAAGGCGCCCAGGCAGTATGATAATATAACACTTGGTAGGTGTACAACACACACTATGGACATACACTAACAACCAGGATATAATCATAATAATTCCTTTTGTCACGGACAGCGTATATTTACCTATGGGTCACTAACACTAGTGGTCTCAGCGAGGACACGAGGCCGGCGGCTTGTCGAAGGTCCCCCCCCCACCATTTGTCCAGATGATCTTTTCCAGTTGGACTTTAAAACTTAACAGAGTTTGGGTGTTTACGGCTTGGGCGGGTAGGCTGTTCCATGGGGAACCCTGTGGGTGATAAAGTATCTGGTGTTCTCAGTCCAACATTGTGGCGTGTTGAGCTTGAACCCGTTGCTCATTGTTTGTGTTACATCTGACCTTTTGAAGATGTTGTCTGGGTCAACATCCTCTAAATTGTTCAGTATTTTAAGTTTCAATGTCATGTATGGTTTGCAATGTTGTGAGCACTGTGGCTAATTGTTGCTGATACTTGAGTTGATTTAGCTCTAGAAAGATTTTTGTTGCCCGGTGTTGCACCGTCTCCAGAGCAGCTATATGTCCCTCTGAAGATGAAGTCTCCATGCTTGGATACAGTAATCCAAATGGGGGAGCACCAGAATTGGATACAGTTGAATCACCATCACCTATTCCTTAAAAGTCAAAGGTAAGTTTCATTATTCCAAAGGTTTGGTGAGCTTTTCTGACTGCTTCTCCTGCCTGTTGTGCAACTATCATTGAGTGGTGGATTGTGACTCTGAGGTCCCTTTCATCAATCTGCTGTAATGTAAACTAACTAATTTAGTAGTTGTGGCGTGGGTTGTTATGCCCCACATGTAAGATCTTGCATTTGTCAATATTAAAAAGCATTTGCCAGTCTTCTGATCATTTATGGAGTTCTAGTAGATCTCTTTGTAAAGGCTTCAATACCATTATTATTTCCCATTTCTTTGCCATAAATCTTTGTGTCGTCTGTAAATTTGATGATGTTGTTTGTACTACTCTCATCTATGTCCGTGATGTATATGACAAAAAGGGTTGGCCCCAAAATGGTCCCCTGCGGCACCCCACTTACCACGTTTCCCCAGTCAGATTCATTCCCATCCATCTATATAAATAAAACTGGAAATATTCGTTTATGCATGACGGCTAATCTCCGAAAGTTCTTCACCGATTGCTTTGAAATTTTCACACAACGTTCCATTCGCATCCGGCCAGGTTTTTATATATATACTATACAGATGTCACGTCTGTGATTGTAAAAAAAAAACGCTTTTTCTGAAAATCTGTGTTTTTCATGTGAAGGAAACCTTCGAAACCTCTTTACCGATTGCTTTGAAATTTTGACACAAAGTTGCATTCGAATAGGCACATCTTTCTTTTTATATCTACTATGTACATGCCTCACCTGTGACCAGAAAAAACATGCGTTTTTTTTTAAACAGCGCCATCTGTTGGACGTAAGAGCAACACACGCTGTAATCTCAGAAAATTCTTCACTGATTGCTTTGAAATTTTGACACAACGTTGCATTCGAATAGGCGCGTGTTTTTATATACTTACTATATACATGCCTCACCTGTGACAGGATTTTTTTTTTTTCGAAAAACAACGCCATCTGTTGGACATAAGAGCAACACACTGTAATATCTGAAAGTTCTTCACCAATTGCTTTGAAATTTTGACTCAACGTTTCATTTGAATACGTGCATGTTTTTATATATCTACTATATAGATGCAACATCTGTGACAGGTAACAACATGCTTTTTTTTTAAGTGCAATCGGTTTTTCTTGAAGGTTATCTTGAAATGATTTCGGGGCTTTAGTGTCCTCGCGGCCCAGTCCTCGACCAGGCCTCCACCCCCAGGAAGCAGCCCGTGACAGCTGACTAGCACCCAGGTACCTATTTTACTGCTAGGTAACAGGGGCATAGGATGAAAGAAACTCTGCCCATTGTTTCTCGCCGGCGCCCGGGATCGAACCCCGGGACCACAGGATCACAAGTCCAGTGTGTTGTCCGCTCGGCGACCGACTGTTGCTCGCAAGAGCAACACTCGCTTTACTAAATTATGTTACGATTCCATTTCAGTGTTTCCGATTGCATTGATATTGAAATTTCATCGATTTCTATTTATTTTCATTTTGATTTCATTATTTTGTGTGACATTGCCTTGTAATTGAGCTGTGTTGTTTACCATACCGTTCATTTCATGAGTACAGTTTATTTTTTTATTTTTTCATAGTTTTTCAATTAGTTTTTAACTGCTGTTCTTATTATCATTTTTCAGTTATGGGAACATCAAATCATTTGATGTTCCCAATTTTCTGAAGGAAATACCAGATCATTTGGGAATGAATCAGACAAAGGAGATGGGAATGGTGGGGAGGACGAGAGGACGGGGGTTAGTTGGGGATGATTACCAACCGAGTGCTGGCAGGGGGATGGAAATAGCCTCGGCTACCATTCTCTTTTGTCCGGGCATGTTGGTCGAGCGGTTAAGGGATCCTTTACGCCAGCAGAGTGCTCCTGGCAGTATGGGTTCGAGTCACTTCTGGGGTGTGAGTTTTCAGTTGTATATAGTCCTGGGGACCATTCAGGCTTGATCGCATATATATATATATATATATATATATATATATATATATATATATATATATATATATATATATATATATATATATATATATATATATATATATATATATATATATATATATATATATATATATATATATATATATATATATATATATATATATATATATATATATATATATATATATATATATATATATATATATATATATATATATATATATATATATATATATATATATATATATATATATATATATAATATGCGGAAAATCCACAGAGAAATATGAAGTGAGGTGAACGTTTCGGCTTGTTGAAGCCTTTGTCTACACCAGACTGAGTCAGTCTGGTGTTGACAAAGTCTTCAACAAGCCGAAACGTTCACCTCATTTCATATTTCTCGGTGGATTTTCCGCATAAAATGATCAGTGTTTTGTGATCGTCAATTGCATATATATATATATATGTGACATATATATATATATATATATATATATATATATATGTCGTACCTAGTAGCCAGAATGCACTTTTCAGCCTACTATGCAAGGCCCGATTTGCCTAATAAGCCAAGTTTTCCTGAATTAATATATTTTCTCTATTTTTTTTCTTATGAAATGATAAAGCTACCCATTTCATTATGTATGAGGTCAATTTTTTTTCATTTGAGTTAAAATTAACGTAGATATATGACCGAACCTAACCAACCCTACCTAACCTAACCTAACCTATCTTTATATGTTAGGTTGGGTTAGGTAGCCAAAAAAGTTAGGCTAGGTTAGGTTAGGTAGGTTAGGTAGTCGAAAAACAATTAATTCATGAAAACTTGGCTTATTAGGCAAATCGGGCCTTGCATAGTAGGCTGAGAAGTGGGTTCTGGCTACTAGGTACGACATATATATATATATATATATATATATATATATATATATATATATATATATATATATATATATATATATATATATACATTTATATATATATATATATATATATGGCACAACTCTCCTAAACACGAGAGTGAAGTATACAACTTTAGAACACTTTCCCACCAGGAGACTCGAACCCTAGCCAGCACAGAAGCCTTCCAGCAACTGGCATAACAGGTACGCCTTAACCCGCTCAACCACCTGCTCAGACCCTTAAAAGAGATGGTAATTTCGGAGTATTTAAATACCCCAAAGATCAACACCTCCCAAGAGCACCAGAGCAAGTGAGGGGTCATTTATACGTTTATTTCATCAAGTCCCTGTTAATATGGGAAGACACAGTGTCTATGCTTAAGGCACAACTCTCCTAAACACGAGAGTGAAGTATACAACTTTAGAACACTTTCCCACCAGGAGACTCGAACCCTAGCCAGCACAGAAGCCTTCCAGCAACTGGCATAACAGGTACGCCTTAACCCGCTCAACCACCTGCTCAGACCCTTAAAAGAGATGGTAATTTCGGAGTATTTAAATACCCCAAAGATCAACACCTCCCAAGAGCACCAGAGCAAGTGAGGGGTCATTTATACGTTTATTTCATCAAGTCCCTGTTAATATGGGAAGACACAGTGTCTATGCTTAAGGCACAACTCTCCTAAACACGAGAGTGAAGTATACAACTTTAGAACACTTTCCCACCAGGAGACTCGAACCCTAGCCAGCACAGAAGCCTTCCAGCAACTGGCATAACAGGTACGCCTTAACCCGCTCAACCACCTGCTCAGACCCTTAAAAGAGATGGTAATTTCGGAGTATTTAAATACCCCAAAGATCAACACCTCCCAAGAGCACCAGAGCAAGTGAGGGGTCATTTATACGTTTATTTCATCAAGTCCCTGTTAATATGGGAAGACACAGTGTCTATGCTTAAGGCACAACTCTCCTAAACACGAGAGTGAAGTATACAACTTTAGAACACTTTCCCACCAGGAGACTCGAACCCTAGCCAGCACAGAAGCCTTCCAGCAACTGGCATAACAGGTACGCCTTAACCCGCTCAACCACCTGCTCAGACCCTTAAAAGAGATGGTAATTTCAGAGTATTTAAATACCCCAAAGATCAACACCTCCCAAGAGCACCAGAGCAAGTGAGGGGTCATTTATACGTTTATTTCATCAAGTCCCTGTTAATATGGGAAGACACAGTGTCTATGCTTAAGGCACAACTCTCCTAAACACGAGAGTGAAGTATACAACTTTAGAACACTTTCCCACCAGGAGACTCGAACCCTAGCCAGCACAGAAGCCTTCCAGCAACTGGCATAACAGGTACGCCTTAACCCGCTCAACCACCTGCTCAGACCCTTAAAAGAGATGGTAATTTCGGAGTATTTAAATACCCCAAAGATCAACACCTCCCAAGAGCACCAGAG